GGAAAAAAATATCTTGGGTTCAACATCGCTGGGATCCCACATCCCCCTAAATCTGTGCTCTTCAAGGTCACTGCCAAGGACCTCCTGGCTCCTAGGAGGGGCTGCCATAACCCCAGGGCCCATACTGAAAAGCGTAGACTATATTCATTTTATATATATATATTTTAAGATTTTATTATTTATTTGACAGAGAAACACAGCGAGAGAGGGAACACAAGCAGGAGAAGTGGGAGAGGGAGAAGCAGGCTTACCCTATGGAGCAGGGAGCCCGATGTGGGGCTCGATCCCAGGACTCTGGGATCATGACCTGAGCTGAAGGCAGACACTTAACAACTGAGCCACCCAGGCGCCCCTATATTCATTTTAATTACATTTCTATGTATTAACCTTTCGTGTGTGGCCACCAAGCCCTGAGGCAAAAGCAGCAAATGGTCAAGTTTCAGCCCCCTTCCCACTCCTGCATCGGGCTATCTCCTGGAGGGTCTATCTGTTGGTTCTCCTTCCAGAAGTTTTGGCACCAACGCGTAATTCTGCGCTCCACTCCTCGCGATCATTGAAGGCCACCCTCCAGGTGCCGCACCCCGCTCCGGCAGCTTTACCCAGCTCTGCCCCTCAGCCTCTATGCCATCTCCCAGAACAGCTCCGTTGAGATATAATTTGCAACCCATAACATTCACCCATCTGTACAATTCAATGGTTACATTATTTTTAAATGTAACATTGAGGGGCGCCCGGGTGGCTCAGTCAGTTAAGTGTCCCAACTCTTGATTTCGGCTCAGGTCATATGATCTCAGGGTCCTGGGATCCAGCCCTGCGTCAGGCTCTGCGCTGGGCGTGGAGCCTGCTTAAGAGTCTCTCTCTCACTCTCCCTCTGCCCCTCCCCGTACTCACGGGCGCTCTCTAAAAAATTAAGTAAATTAAAATAAAATGTATCATTTAAGAGGCCCCTGGGTGGCTCAGTCAGTTAAGTGTCTGCCATGGGCTCAGGTCACGAACTCAGGGTCCTGGAATCAAGCCCCACGTGGGGCTCCCGGCTCAGCGGGGAGTCCGCTTCTCTCTCTCTCTCCCAGTCCCTCTCCCCTGCTCATGCTCTCTCTCTCAAATAAATAAATAAAATCTTTAAAAATATAAAAAGAAATAAAATGTAACATTTAATAGTTTAAATGTTGCATTACTGGGGCACCTGGCTGGCTCAGTGGGGCCCCATGTTGGATGTGGAGCCTACATAAAATAAATAAATAAAATAAAATAAAATGTTGCATTTTTGTAGAACTTGTAGCAAAATACATGTAAGGGCAATTTGCCGTTTTACCCATAGTTAAGTGTGCAATTCGGAGGTATTAAGTGCATTCCGATGGCATGCAGCCATCCCCACTATTTCCAAATCTTCTTCATCACCCCAAATAGAAGTTCTATTCCCAGTAGCAGAAACTCCCCGTTCCCTCTCCCACCCTCCCAGGCCCCTGGTAATCTTTAATCTACTTTCTGTCCCTCTGAATTTATCTCTTCTAGATGTTTCTCAGAAGTGGAATCATAGAACTTGAGTCTGGCTTTTCTCACTGAGCCCAATGTCCTCCAGGTTCATCTTGCTGTGGCCAGTGTCAGAATGTCCCTCCTTCTAATAATAATAATATTCCAGTGTGTGGATGGACAGCGTTCTGTCTATCCATTCCTCCGTCAATGTGGATCTGGGTTGTTTCCAAAGTTTGGCAGTTGAGAAACAGGCTGTTCTGAGTAGAGGTGTACAAATAATTGAGGTCCTGCTTTCAGCTCCTTTCGGTAGACCTCAGGTAGTCTGGGTACAATGCTAACTCGAGGTCCAGCTTTCTGAGAAGCAGCCAAACTGTTTTCCCACATGTGTGATTTTCAATGTTCTAGCAGCTATATTAAAAAGAATAGAAAGACACCAGAAAAATTAATTCTAATGATATATTTTATTTCACCCAATACATCCAAAGCATCATCTCAATATGTAATCTATAGAGAAGATCACTATGGGATATTTTACATTCCATCCTGTGAAGTCATTACAATCCGAGGTGCACCTTACATGTTAAGTACATCTCTGGATACTAAACTCTCACGGCTACTGGAAAACCTGGATCTGTGTCAATACAGTGGCTTTATTCACTCTTCGAGCTGCCTAGTATTTTACTGTAGTGAGAGACCCCAGTTTGACCAGTCCCACATTGGTGAACACTTAGCTTGTCCAAAATGCCCTGCCAAGCACATCTGTGGCATTTGGGCCAATCCCTCTGGCCAGAGGTTGCGTACATTTTAAATTATGATGCTCACCAGTTTTCCTTTCTTAGAAATTCTAGAGCAACACATACTTTTTTTTTAAGATTTTATTTTTTTTACTTATTTTTTTAGAGAGTGAGAGCAAGTGAGTATGAGTGGGGGTGGGGGGAGTGGGCAGAGGGAGAGGAAGAGAGAGAGAATCCCAAGCAGACTCTACACCCAGTGGGGAGCCCATCATGGGACTCACCCTCATGACACTGAGATCATGACCTGAGCTGAAATCAAGAGATGGATACTTAACTGACTGAGCCCTAACCAGGTGCCCTAAGATTTTACTTTTTAAAGTAATCTCTAGGGGCACCTGGCTGATTCAGTTGATTAAGCAACTGCCTTCAGCTCAGGTCATGATCCCAGGGGCCTGGGATCGAGCCCCACATCAGTCTTCCCTGCTGGGCTAGGAGTCTCCTTCTCCCTCTCCCTCTGCCCCTCCTCTCACTCATGCTCCCACCCCCCCACCCCCGTCTCTCTCTCAAATAAATAAATAAAATCTGGGCGCCTGGGTGGCTCAGTTGGTTGAGCGACTGCCTTCGGCTCAGGTCATGATTCTGGAGTCCCGGGATCGAGTCCCGCATCGGGCTCCCTGCTCGGCAGGGAGCCTGCTTCTCCCTCTGACCCTCCCCCCTCTCATGTGCTCTCTGTCTCTCTCATTCTCTCTGTCTCAAATAAATAAATAAAATCTTTAAAAAAAAAAAAAAATAAAAATAAATAAATAAATAAATAAATAAATAAATAAAATCTTAAAAAAAAAATTAATCACTGGGCGCCTGGGTGGCTCAGTTGGTTAAGCGTCTGCCTTCAGCTCAGGTCATGATCCCGGAGTCCTGGGATCGAGTCCCACATCGGGCTCCCGGCTCAGCGGGGAGCCTGCTTCTCCCTCTGACCCTATCCCCTCTCATGCTGTTTCTCTCTCTCTCTCTCTCTCTCTCAAATAAATAAATAAAAAAAATAGTAATAATCACTACACCCAGTGTGGGGCTCAAACCCGCAATCCTGAAATCAGAGTCCCAGGCTCCACCAGCTGAGCCCACCAGACACCTGAACCGCACAACAGGCTTTCAGTAGAAGCCACACGTATACTTAATATTTTTCTAGTAGCCACATTTTCAAAATTGTAAAAAAAAAAAAAAATGGAGAAATTAATTTTTTAAAAGACTGTCTTCAACCCAATAGATCCTAACTTATATTATTTCCATGTGTAATCAATATAAAAATTGTTGAGATCTTTACATTCACTCTTTGATCCTGTACCTTGGAAATCTGGTGTGTCTGTTACACTTGGTATGCCTCAAATTTGGACACTCGGTTTTCATCAACGATCCTTGATCTGCATTTGGACTCCATAAGATGAACAGTTGAAGAAGCAGATTTGCACATCCAGGATGTTCCAAATATACTTCGAAGGTTTGCAATCATTGAATTGACTATCTGAGGTTGCTTTGGGTTCTGTTTGATCTTCCTTTTTATTTAAAGACTTTAAGTCATCTCTGCACCCAACGTGGGGCTCGAACTCACAACCCCGACATCAAGAGACGCACGCTCTGCCGACTGAGCCACCGGGTGCCCTACTTTCTATTTTTGAAGTTGTTTTTGATTCAGAGAAGAGAGTATCAGTTTTTAAATTTAAATGAGCATAAAAAACGCTGATTCTCAGACGCAAAGGCCACATTGCAAGGACTCCATGGCCTTACAGGGCAGTGGCGGCCGAATCAGATGGTGCAGAGACAGAGCCTTTCCCCGACTGCAGAAAGCCCCGGGGGATGGTGCCTGCTGTGTGCGGAGCTCCACCTGCAAAGCGGCAGAGGAGCTCGGGGTTAGGTCAGAGAGGGAGACTTTAGGTTCCGGATCACAACGGCTCTAGCCGGGGTCAAAGCCTCACTCCAGGGCACGGGGGACGTCTGGGGAAGGCTGGGAGGGGCAGGGTCAAGGTGGGAGCTGAGAGCCTTGGGACCTACCGCAGCCCCCTGGAGACCCCTCCCCAGATACAGGGGCTGTGCCGCCTGGCGGCTGGGGAGCCTGGGCTCTGGGGCTGCGATTCCAGCTCGGCCCTGTCTCCCGCCGAGTCACGTGGCCCCAGCGTGCTCATCTGTAAACTGCCAAAAAACAACAGTGCCGACCCCAGGGCTCACGAATGTCCTGTTGGAAACCTAGGTGTGGCCGCAGGCGGGGGCTGTCGCGTTTCTCATCAGTGATGCTCTCTCCACTGTCGCCCCTCTCCCCACTCTCTCCAAAGTTTTACCTAACTTTCGAGAACTCCCTGCAGCCTGACTACGTCACGGAGAAGCTGTCCATGCAGATCCTGCTGGAGGAGGCCTCCTGGAGGCCTGCGCCGTACCGTGGTGCTGGGTCCGAGCAGGAGGAACCACGAGAAATTCCTGCCTCCTGACGCCTTCATCCACGTCAACGACTTCCAGAGCCCCGAGGAACTGGCCCAGTCCCTGCTGCCCCTGGACAAGGACCACGCCCTCTACCTCGGCTACTTCCGCTCGCGGGAGACCCTGCGGCCTCGATCCTTCCACAGGGCCCTGATGTTCTGCAAAGCCTGCTGGCGACTGCAACAGGAGTCCCCCTACCAGACGGTGCCAGCACAGCCTCCTGGTTCACGTGAGCTGGCCAGCCTGGGGCGGGGGCTGCTCCAGACACACCTGCTGGGGACCTCACTGCCAGGGTGGTGGCTCACTGATTGCTGGGGAGCTCACTGAGCTGGGGCTTCACCTACTGAGCACCTGTGTGGCCAGGAGATCAGCTCTAAGGGATCCTACCTCCCAGGAGCCTCACCTCCGGGGGTCTCACCTGCTGGGGACCTCGGTTATTGGGGACCTCGCCTGCCTGGGGACTCACCAGCTACAGGAGGGGCGTCCTCACCTGCTGGGAATCTCACCTGCTGAGATCGCATTTACCTGGGACTTCACCCACCCACACTATGCTGCCAGGACATCGGCTCTAGGGCCCTTAGCTGCCAGGGGCCTCACCTCCTGAGGGGCCTCACCTTCGGCGGTTGGGGACATCACCTGCTGGGGATCTGAAACAGGTCATCTAGCCTCACTAGGACACACCTGCTAGGAGCCCCACTGAACTGGGGTGTCACCTGCTGCAACCCTCACCCACTAAAACTCCCCTTGGGGTCCCGCTCACTGGTGAGGGGTCTGCCCGATTTGCTTGTGGTTTCGTTCCTGTTGCTAACTGCCCGCGGGGTACGCAGAGGGACAATACTGACACCATTCTCTGGATGGGAATGCTCCGAGGAAAACCCATGTCTTCTCCCTGATTTTAGAACAGCGGTCTGCCTGCCCGGGCACACTCGGCAAAGGCTTGGGAGGCTGGTGGTTGGCACAGCTGGAGATGGGCTGAGAGCATCCAGTGGGTGGGGGCCAGAGATGCTGTTCAACAGCCCACAGGCCCAGGTAGGCCCCCCAAAACCAAGAATGGCCTGGGTGCCAATGTCAAGAGGTGGAAAAACCCTGGAGGCCAAGCCCCACAGTGGGTGGGAGTGGGGACCAGGCTGTCTGGGGGTCCATGGGGGGCAGGGCTGGGACAAGTGTAGAGGGAGGGCAGGAACTGCCCACGAAGGAAGGGGAGGAGGGCAGAGTGGGGTGCCCAGCACGTGTAGCCCTGAGACTGTGTGTGACAAGTGCTGACCACGGGGGCTTGGAGACCCCTGGCGAGAGATCCCACTGGGTGTGGCCAAACACCACGTGGTGTTGCACATGAGAGGGTGCGCAACACACACACACACACACACGCACATAGTCAGGCTTCAGGGACCACAGACCTGGGCTCCAAGATCAATTTTCCCAGGTGTGGGCCGAACAACTTCCGCCTCCGTGGCTCAGGGCTATCTGGGATGGGGAAACTGAGGCTTGGCTTCTGCCCCAAGGAGAAGGGGACAACGGCTTCCCTGCCACGGCTGGGCTGAGTCAGCCCAAACAGAGGAGGAATCCCCTACCCCAAACCTCAGAAGACTGGGGGGGTGGGGACCCCAGATGGCCTCAGCCCTGAAACTTCCTAACAAGCAGACCACCCGTGGGCTGGACCCTGGCTGCCCAGCCCTGCTCTCAGGACTCCGGGGAAGTCCTGCCTGTTAGCTGCCTCAAGTGTCTCCAGCTGCAGCCGGGGACCAGGGAACAGGGGGTGTTTCTGCTGGGCTGGATGATCCTTTCTGGGACAGCCGCTGATCTGGGCCCTCCAGCGTCGGGATGGGGACTAGGGCTGGGAGGGCCATGGTGTTTAGATGGTGGCCCTGAGCTCAGATGTGTGGGAAAGAGGGGAGAGGGCCAGTCTAGGGGAACAGTGAAGGAGAGAAGGGGCTCTTTCCGTGGGAGCCCTTGTGGAGTTGGGGGTGAGAGAAGAAGAGAGGGGACCACGCCCTCAGGAAAGCTGTCTGGGGTGAGAGGGGCTTGCACCCTCGAGAACCCCACTCTGAGGTGCAGGAGGGGAGGGTCCATACCCACTGGTCTCCAGGGTGTCAGCCTGGGGGCAGGGCAGCGGCCCCCCGCCCTGCCCCTCCTCAGACCCTGGGATGTGCAGACCTCTCCCCAGGGTCTGAGAACCCAACCCCCTGCGCTGTCCTGGGCCTGCCAGGCATCAAGGTGACACCGCTTTTTCTGTCCTCCGCGGGGACGCGTCGTAAATCCCCCCAGGAGCTCGGGCCAGGGATTTTATGCGCCCAGGACCTAGGTCCCTGAGGACCCAGCTCTGCCCCAGCAGGCGCCGCTTTCGGGCTGGACAGGGCTGGCGCCCGCCCCAGACCTATCCCCACAGGGAGCTGGGCAGCGCACATATATTTTTAGCTACTGAAAGGAGATAGTGGCTCGGCGGGGGTGGACGGGGCCTGAGGAGGCCCTTTGGGGGAGGGAGGCCTGGGTCCACCTGGACCTCAGACTCCTCATCTGCATTTGGCTCCCTCTTCCCATCCCATCCCACCTCATGGGAGGTGGCCGTGGCACGCGGCAGGAAGGGGTACAGGGACCTGCAAGAAAGTGGGAAGGACGGCCCCTGCCGACATTCCTCCCACTCACACCGCTTTCCTTCGTGGACCACGGGAAAAGGACCCTCTCTGCGCCCAGCACGTGGTCCCCGCCCCGTCCCCCCCCCCCCGCCCAGTGCGGCTGGCGCCCCCACCCCACACAGGCTCGGGTCCCTCCGAGAGGTAGGCACCCCCGGAACGCGGAATCACGACCCAGGATCCATTTTCCACTCTTTATCTCCGTGCAGCTACTGGAGAGTCCCGAGGCCGGGGCGGCACCTCCTGCGCACGCGCAGTCTGTCCGCCGCGGGCCTTGCCAGGCGGGACGGTGGGCGCCGCGGCGCGGGGGCCGTGGCCGCCGTCTCGCCGGGCCCCTGAGGTAGGGTCAGACGCAGGCACACTCGCGCGCCGACAGCTCGTGGACCGTGTGGTAGCGGCTGTGCGCGTCCAGGAAGGACACCTCGTCCTCGTAGGCCGTCGGGCGGCAGCAGGGCTGCGCGCGCACCCGCTCCCGCCGAACGCGCCGCCGCTGGCGAAGCCGCCGCAGCCCCAGGTCGTAGACGCGCGCAGCCGCTTCGCAGGCGCCTGCGCAGTAGCGGAACAGCACCGTCTCGTCGGACGCGTAGCCCAAGCCCAGCTCGCTCACGCGCACTTCCAGCTCGCGCAGCCCGCACGGCCGCGTCCCCGCTCGCGCGCGCGCGCGCCTCCGCCGGAGCCCCGCCCGACGGCGCGGACGCGGGGGCCTGCCGGCCCAGGGCGTCAGCTGGCGCAGCTCCACCGCGTCCGGGGCGCCCTGCAGCAGTGCACGATCTGCGAGGAGAGAGAGAGAGAGAGAACCGGGTGGGTCGGTGGGTGACTGGGGGCGAGTCCCCGACCCCCGCTGTTCCCCTCGGAAAACAGCCCCTTGGTAGCGCACCCTCCCGAGGCGGCTTCTCAACTCCCTGCTACATTCCCAAGCGTGTTCCCTCTCTGGGCGCCGTGGGGGGTGCCTGTGCAGAGCCCCCGCGCTGGAGCCCCAGGACTCCCAACAGCCCTCTCTGGACCCTACCGCTGTGGTGGACGCTCAGAACCTGGCTCCTCCTTGCCGGTGCCCTGGAGCGCTTTCCAGCCTGCCCCACGTTGAGCTGGGCTCGCCCCGGGGTCTCACTCCCTCTGGTCATCCCCACGCCCACATTCTCCGTGGGCCCTGACCCTTTGTTCTGCTTTCGCTGAGCTGCTCCCACCTCTTTGCAGAAAAGGAAGGGAGGGCTCAGCTGGGGCTCCCTGTCCCCGTGGGCCCCCAGCTGGCCCCACCCCTAGGCTGGGATGCCCCTGGTAACTGGCACCCCTTCTGTGACCAGTGTTGGGGAGCTGCATCCCATGCTTCAAGCACTCACTCGTTGGTTGAGCTGATAAAGAGTCTCTGGCTCACTCTTTGGGGGCCCCACCCAACGCCCCCCACCTTATCCCTCCTGCTCCGCCGCACGCTGGGACTCAGTTTCTCCACGCACACTACCAAATCGGGGTGTTTGGGCTGTTCAGAACGCGCGGAGGATAACACCAGCAGGCACGGAGGCCCGCATGTGAGGACGGTGGGGGGAGGCAGCAGGGAATGTCACGGCCTCCCCCGTGTTACAGGTGAGACAACAGGCATCCATTAGGGCAGAGACTGGCCCAAGGCCACAGTACCAGCAGGTGGCAGAGAGACACAAGCCCAAACAGCCTTGTTCCCGCCTCCATCGTGTGCCCAAGTTTGGCCCACGTCCAGTGCTCTGCTCCCACGGTTGCCAGGAGGTGCCCGGAGTCACAGATTCCCAGGGCCCCGGAGCCTAAATTTATTTCCCAGGCGGCTGGGCTGCCCCAGTACTCTGCAGCCTCGGGAGAGCCTCGTAGACATGCCAGTGGCAGGTGGCGCTGAGAGTGGAACTGCAGGCAGGGGCTCCTAGTCTCTGAACAAGTGGCAGGCATGCTTGTGGTTGGGAGAGGAGACCCCGAGTTTATCGCCTGCATGCCCCCAAGCCTGGCACCCTTGGCTCCCAAAAGAAATAGCTTATAGGCAGACGCGAGGGAGAGGGTGTGTCCGTTTCCACAGGGGGTCTCAGGAATCAGACAAACCCCAGTTGTGAGTCTTGCTCTGCCACTTTCAGCCCCGTATCACTTCAGGCAGGTGATGGACCTGCTCTGTGCCTCAGTTTCCCTATCCGCTCAAGGAGGCTTGCAGAGAGTTCCCCTCTGGCTGAGGCTGGGACAGTGGAAAGTGGGGATCAACTGAGCAACATGTTTCCAGTTCTTGAAGTCCAGGGGCAGGACTTGGTGGCCAGCACCGTCTGCTCTGGGGTTAGGTTCCAGCCTACCTCACTTATGGTGCCTAAAATTCCACCATGTAGCGTGCCCGCCCCTAAGGTATACATCTACACAGAATTCGGGGGGGGGGGGCCGCGGCGGGGGAAGATGCCAGATAAAGTACAGATGCCCAGTAAATTTGAATTTCAGACAAACAGTGAATAATCTCTTGGTATATGTGTCCCTGCCTCCCTCCAGCAGGCCTGGCCACCTGCACAGGGTCTGGAACACAGAGATGAGATCAGCAATAGTTTCCCCCACCCCGATCCCCATCCCCGCACTCCCACCGCCCCAAGCCTGCAATTCCACCATCAGCGCATTGGTCTCAGGGCCTAACACTGGGACACTGGAGGGATCAGCGGCCACTCCCTTCCCTTACAGGACTGTGCCCAGGGACAGGATGCAGGGTGGGCAAGCACCCGCCCAGGGGCTGAGACCCTTCCCGGTGACTGAGATCCCACGGTCGGTGTTGTGCCCCAGGTTGTAAGCACTTGGTTCCCCGCCCCTCCTCCACCCCCCGGGACCGGGACCGGGTTTCTGGAACCCCGTGTCTTGGGAAGGACTTTGCCGCCTGCAGGAGGAAGTGGCGGGCGGAAGTGGAGCCCGTGCCTGAGGCCACCCTTGTCCATTGTAAGGACAAGAAAGGAAGATTGTGTGGGCCGGCAGGACGGGCGCGGACTTGCACACAGGCTGCACGCAGCGCAACCCCGCGGGCGCCATGCACGCGCCGCGCCCGCGCCCGCGCCCACACCCCGGTCGGCGGAGCGGCGCCCGCGTGGACACGTGCGCGCGCACAGGAGGTCGGGACCCGCCCCCTACCCCGGGCAGGCAGGCGGGGCAGCGGGCCGGCGCCAGGGAGGAGTAGGGAGTTGGGCCGCGAATGGGAATGTTTCCACATCTCCACTGCAGGGCCTTTTCCCGTGTCCATCTCTCCCAAACTTGTGTCTGTCTGTCTCTGTCTCTGTTTCTCTCCCCATTTCTACGTCTCTCGGGGTCTCCGCTTCCCCTCGGTCCCTGTCCACGGGGCAGGTCAGTGGGGACTCGGATCCAGCCTCCCTGTCCCACACCATGTGCTGAGCACGGGAGCCCCCCCGGGGAGGATGCCCAGATCTAATCTCCATCTGGACCCCTGACCCCTGAGGGCCAGAGCCTAATTTCTAGTGACAGCTGAGCCCAGAGACCCCTGGCTCCCAGCGATCTCCCTCCACCCTCCGCCCCACCACAACAGCTTTCCACCCCTGCCATTCCGTTGGGGGGATTTGCACCCTCTCCTCACCCCATCCAAATTAAGCCTCTGTGGCCCATGCATGAAATTCCACCGTTGTGGCCGCCCCTGTATTGGGGCAGCTGACCCAAGTCGGGGCCCGGCTTACACTGGGCCAGGCGGGCGATCCGGGCGTCCAGGGTGCGCGGCGGCCGGCGCAGTGGGGTCAGCGAGGGTCCCAGGTGGTGACTGAGGAGCAGGCCGTCCCGACACATCCAGATGGAGAGCACTGAACTGCAGAGCACCGAGGCCAAGGCTGCCGCCTTCCAGCGCTGCATCCTCGGCCTGCGGGCATGCGATGGTCAGCCCCACGGCCTCCGTCTGTCTGTCTGTCAGGCAACAAACGGGAACAGGGCGCTGGGCCAGGCACCGGGGACACGGTGCGGCCCCTGATTTCCAGCCACTTCTGCTTAATGATCAGTAATAACGTAGACATGATTCATCAAGGAACCCTTGAACAAGGTTGCGAAAAAATGCTGCCCAAGAAAGGAGTGGGCACTGTACCAGGAGTAGCAGGGGACCCATCCCCATCTGGGGGTCCCAGAGTGCTTTCCTGAGGATTGACGAAAGTTGAGCCTTAACCAAACATAGAAGTCGGCCAGGCACAAGAGAATGGCATCTCAGGCAGGAGGAACAGCCAGTGCAAAGGTCCTGAGGCTGGGACCAAGGTTGGCCATGCAGCCAGGAGGCTGGAGTGGCTGGAGCCCAGTGATTTTGGAGGGGAGCCTAGAAGGAGGTGAGGGCACTCCCAGGAGGGGGCACTGTGGGAGTGTGGCATGGAGAAGACAATGTGCTCTGATGTGTTCCTAACATATTGGGGCCCTCGGGAGTGACGTCCTGCCCCTCTCTGAGCCTGGGTTTCCAGACAGAGATTAAACTGATGCCCAGAAGCGGGCATCGATGGATCAAAGCTGCACTGGACCCACCACCCCCAGGCCTTTGCACAGGCCGGTCCTCCCACCCAGCACATTCTCTTCTCCTCTTCCCCACTCCCCTCCCTCTCTCAGTCTCAGCTCCGGGCGTCTTCCCCAGGAAGCCTTCTCCGGCTGCTCCTACTCGCGCCCTTCCTCCTCCCCAGCCCCGGGTGGGCGCAGGTGTGCACCCTCTGGGCCACCACAATGGCCTGAGCTTCTCCCGGTGAGGGACTGGTGACTCAGTGCTGGGACCGCCTAGCCCCGGGCACTGTGTGCACATAGTAGGTGTTTCGTAACGCATGCGCACTCCCGCTCACCCAGTCAGAGCCCCTTCCCGCCGCCGGGCGCCCCCGCCCGGGTTTACATTCCCGGGCCTGGCAGCCTGGTGGCGGTCCGCGCGGGGTTGGCGGTCCGCCCGGTGTAAACATTTACACAGAGCATTGAAAGCCGCGCTGGATGCCGGTCAGCGCCTGGGCTCGGCCGTGGGGTGCCGGGCGGCCCCACGCGCGCCCCTCGGGCGGCTCAGGCTGGGGGCCACTGTGCGGAGCCGGCATTTGCGTGCGATTTGCATTGCAGTTTTGCATGGACCCCGCACTGGCGGGTTCGGCGCAGTGGGTCTGGAACCGTCTCTCCCCCCACCCCACCCCCTCCCATGGGAGCGCTGGCGCAGAACCTACAGCCTCCAGACAGTAGCCGGGGACGTTTATTAAGCGCCTGCTGTGTACCAGACCGGTGCGGAACCCACGAAGAAGGCAGCATGATCTCCATTTTACAGCTGGGGAAAGTGAGGCACAAAGCAGGTAGGGGCTTATCCAAGGTCACAGCTGGACAAGCATCTGGGATTCGAACCCGGCTGCAGGCGCTGCGCTGTGCTTGGCAGCCTTGGAGTCCCCCTGAGGACTTGCCCCGCTTGGGGGTGTTTGGATAGGGCCGTTTGGGGGACTGCTGGTGGCGCTGGCAGAGAATGAGTTCCCCCACACGGGGGCGTGAGAGAAAGCCGGGCCAGCCTGCAGCTCGGAGGGCACTTGACCGCGCCTGGCGTGCTGCAGGAACACTGGTGGCCCATGAGGCTGGAACAGAGTGAGCGAGGCGGAGGGAGGGGAGGGCAGGCCGGGGGGGGGGGGGCGGGGCAGGTCACGCAGGGCCTTGGGGGCCGCGGGGAGAACATCTCATTGTCAAGCTTGTGCAGCAAGGGGAGGACAGCCCCCGAAGTTGTCAGGTGTCCAAACCCGCCCCTTGGCTCTAAAGGAGCCCCTACTTTATGCTTTGGGGGCCCAGAGCCCTCCCTGCACACGTCCTGCCGGGGTGTGCCTCGGTTTCCCTGTTAGGCTGGAACGAGGCCCCTGCGCCGAGCCAGGCTCTGGTCCTGGGTTTCTGCTGAGGGCTTCGCATGGGGGCGGGGGGCTGAGAGGCTGGATGGGCCCGGAGACGGCCTGGCCACGGGAGCCCCTGGTGTCCTTGGAGCTGCGGACCCCCCGGAGCTCTGATGGGGGGCAGGAAAGCAGAGGGCCAAGGGTGGAGGGGGCCCAGTAGGTGCGGCTGATAAGCGTCTGTTAACAATGGGCCTTTCAGTAAGGGGGTCACCCAACTGGTTTGTCTGTGGCAAGGACCTGACCCAGAGGGGTGCTGCGGGTGTGGCGCATGGCGCGGGGAGGGGGCCCGGGGTGCACCATGCGCGTCTCTGGGTCCCGGAGGCCCCCGGTCCTGGGGAGGCGGACGCACAGCACACGTGGGGGCGCACAGTCACTCGCACTCGGCCTTCTTGTCCTCGGTCACACACTTGGGTGCTCTCACTCCCCTGCACACCCAGACAGTCCCGACCCACACCCTGGGACACGCTGTCGCTTGCACGCTCTAACACTGTCCCACTTACACTCCCTGTTTTCATACTCACCAACTCCAGCTCGACGGGGCTCGCACACTCAGGGGTTTTCCCACGCCCGTGGGCATTTTCACACATGTTGGAAACACCTACCTGGGTGGGTGTTCTCACACTTCCATCCATATAGGAGCACACTTACGCACGAGGTCATTGGCACACACGGACTCCCAACATTATCTCATTCGTGTCCTGAAACATGATTAAACGGACACACTGGAACTCAATCACACGCACACAACTCAGCAGTTGCACACCCACGCACTGGTGTCCTGCACTCACATACAGGGGCACTCACACCTGGGCATATTTATCCTCACACTCACATTATGACTCTTGAAGATGAGGATGTTCACACATCACTGTATTTCACAAACTCACACTGTCATACTTGGGCATTTTCCATGACATTCACATGCTGTTACACGTGAATAAGTGGATTTTTAAAAATTCCAGGATAATTAACATACAGCATTATATTAGTTTCAGGTATACAATATAGTCATTCGACAATTCTGTACATTTCTGGGCATTAGGATCCCAATCCCCTAACTCCCCTATCCCCCCACCCTCCTCCCCTCTGGTAACCACCAGTGTGTTCTCTGTAGTTAAGAGTCTGTTTCTTTGTTTGTCTCTCTTTTTATTTGTTTTGTGTCCTAAATTCCACATCTGAGTGAGTGAAATCATAGAGTATCTGTCTCTCTCTGCGTGACTGATTTCACTTAGCATAATACCCTCTAGATCCGTCCATGTTGTTGCAAATGGCCACATTTCGTTCTTTTTTATGGCTGAATATATTCCACTGTATATACGCACCACATCTTCTTTATCCATTCATCGATCAATGGACACTTGGGCTGCTTCCATCATTCGGCTATTGCGAATAATGTTGCAATAAACATAATGGTGCACATATCTTTTTGAATTAGTGTGTTCGTATTCCTTGGGTAAACACCAAAGAATCATATGGTACTTCCATTTTTAATTTTTTGAGGAACCTCCATACTGTTTTCCAGAGGGGCTACACCCGTTTGCATTCCCACCAACAGTGCATAAGGGTTCCCCTTTCTCCGCATCCTTGCCAACGCTTGCTGTTTCTTGTGTTGTTGGTTTTAGCCGTTCTGACAGGTGTGAGGTGATATCTCATCGTGGTTTTCATTTGCACTTCCCTGATGATGAGGGACGTCGAGCATTTTTTTCATGTGTCTGTTGGCCATCTGGATGTCTTCTTTGAAGAAATGTCTGTTCATGTCTTCTGCCCATTTTTAAGTGGATTGTTTTTTGTTAGTTTGGGGTTTTGGTGTTGTTTTGTGTTAGTTCCTTATATATTCTGGATATGAACCCCCAAGCAGCTATGTCACTTGCAAATATCTTCTCCCATTCTGTACGTGTCTTTTAGTTTTGTTGCTTGCTTCCTTCACTGTACAGAAGCTTTTTATTTTGATGTAGTCCCAATAGTTTATTTTTACTTTTGTTTCCCTTGCCTCGGGAGACCTATCTAGAAAAACGTTGCTATGGCTGATGTCAGAGACATTACTGCCTGTGCTTTCTTCTAGGATTTTTATAGTTTCAGGTCTCACATTTAGGTCTTTAATCCATTTTGAGTTTATTTTGGGGCATACTGTAAGAATGTGGTCCAGTTTCTTTCTTTTGCATGTAGCTGTTCAGTTTTCCCAACACCAAATGAGGAAGAGACTCCCTTTCTCCCCATTGTGGTTTCTGGCCTCCTTTGTGGAAGATTAATTGCCCATATAATCATGGGTTTATTTCTGGACTTGAATCAGTGCCTTTATTCACTCTTCACAGCTGCCTAGTATTTTATTGTAGCAAAAGACCCCAATTTGACCAGCCCCACATTGATGGACATGGAGCTGGTACAAAACACCCTGGTAGGCACGTCCCTGGCATTTGGGCCAATCCCTCTAGAGAAGGTGGGTTCCTTTTAAATTATGATGCCCACCAGTTTTCCTTTCTTAGAAACTCTAGAGTAGCCTAGACTTTTGATAGAAATGTAACAGGTCACACATATACTTAATATTTTTCAGTAGCCACATTTTCAGAAATGCAAAACAACAGTGAAATTAATTTTAATAAGGCTGTCTTCAACCCACTGGATTCTAACCAGTATTATTTCCATGAGTAAAGGATATAAAAATTATTGTTATTTACACTGTTTCTTTGTACACCTTGGAAATCTGGTGTGTCTGTTACACTTGGTATGCCTCAAATTTGGACACTCGGTTTTCATCAACGATCCTTGATCTGCATTTGGACTCCATAAGATGAACAGTTGAAGAAGCAGATTTGCACATCCAGGATGTTCCAAATATACTTCGAAGGTTTGCAATCATTGAATTGACTATCTGAGGTTGCTTTTGGTCCTGTTTGATCTTTCTTTTTATTTAAAGACTTTAGGTCGGGCGCCTGGGTGGCTCAGATGGTTGAGCGTCTGCCTTCGGCTCGGGTCGTGTTCCCAGGGTCCTGGGATCGAGTCCCACATCGGGCTCCCTGCTAGGCGGGGAGCCTGCTTCTCCCTCTGCCTCCGCCTCTTTCTCTCTCTCTCTGACTCTCATGAATAAATAAATAAAACATTAAAAAAAAAAAAAGACTTTAAGTCATCTCTGCACCCAACGTGGGGCTCGAACTCACAACCCCGACATCAAGAGACGCACGCTCTGCCGACTGAGCCACCGGGTGCCCTACTTTCTATTTTTGAAGTTGCTTTTGATTCAGAGAAGAGAGTATCAGTTTTTAAATTTAAATGAGCATAAAAAACGCTGATTCTCAGACGCAAACGCCACATTGCAAGGACTCCATGGCCTTACAGGGCAGTGGCGGCCGAATCGGATGGTGCAGAGACAGAGCCTTTCCCCGACTGCAGAAAGCCCCGGGGGATGGTGCCTGCTGTGTGCGGAGCTCCACCTGCAAAGCGGCAGAGGAGCTCGGGGTTAGGTCAGAGAGGGAGACTTTAGGTTCCGGATCACAACGGCTCTAGCCGGGGTCAAAGCCTCACTCCAGGGCACGGGGGACGTCTGGGGAAGGCTGGGAGGGGCAGGGTCAAGGTGGGAGCTGAGAGCCTTGGGACCTACCGCAGCCCCCTGGAGACCCCTCCCCAGATACAGGGGCTGTGCCGCCTGGCGGCTGGGGAGCCTGGGCTCTGGGGCTGCGATTCCAGCTCGGCCCTGTCTCCCGCCGAGTCACGTGGCCCCAGCGTGCTCATCTGTAAACTGCCAAAAAACAACAGTGCCGACCCCAGGGCTCACGAATGTCCTGTTGGAAACCTAGGTGTGGCCGCAGGCGGGGGCTGTCGTGTTTCTCATCAGTGATGCTCTCTCCACTGTCGCCCCTCTCCCCACTCTCTCCACAAGTTTTACCTAGTTTTCGAGAACTCCCTGCAGCCTGACTACGTCACGGAGAAGCTGTCCATGCAGATCCTGCTGGAGGAGGCCTCCTGGAGGCCTGCGCCGTACCGTGGTGCTGGGTCCGAGCAGGAGGAACCACGAGAAATTCCTGCCTCCTGACGCCTTCATCCACGTCAACGACTTCCAGAGCCCCGAGGAACTGGCCCAGTCCCTGCTGCCCCTGGACAAGGCTCATGCCCTCTACCTCGGCTACTTCCGCTCGCGGGAGACCCTGCGGCCTCGATCCTTCCGCTGGGCCCTGACGTTCTGCAAAGCCTGCTGGCGACTGCAACAGGAGTCCCCCTACCAGACGGTGCCAGCACAGCCTCCTGGTTCACGTGAGCTGGCCAGCCTGGGGCGGGGGCTGCTCCAGACACACCTGCTGGGGACCTCACTGCCAGGGTGGTGGCTCACTGATTGCTGGGGAGCTCACTGAGCTGGGGCTTCACCTACTGAGCACCTGTGTGGCCAGGAGATCAGCTCTAAGGGATCCTACCTCCCAGGAGCCTCACCTCCGGGGGTCTCACCTGCTGGGGACTCGGTTACTGGGGACCTCGCCTGCCTGGGGACTCACCAGCTACAGGAGGGGCGTCCTCACCTGCTGGGAATCTCACCTGCTGGGATCGCATTTACCTGGGACTTCACCCACCCTCACTATGCTGCCAGGACATCGGCTCTAGGGCCCTTAGCTGCCAGGGGCCTCACCGCCTGAGGGGCCTCACCTTCTGGGAACCTCGGCGGTTGGGGACGTCACCTGCTGGGGATCTGAAACAGGTCATCTAGCCTCACTGGGACACACTTGCTAGGAGCCCCACTGAACTGGGGTGTCACCTGCTGCACCCCTCACCCACTAAAACTCCCCTTGGGGTCCCGCTCACTGGTGAGGGGTCTGCCCGATTTGCTTGTGGTTTCGTTCCTGTTGCTAACTGCCCGCGGGGTACGCAGAGGGACAATACTGACACCATTCTCTGGATGGGAATGCTCCGAGGAAAACCCATGTCTTCTCCCTGATTTTAGAACAGCGGTCTGCCTGCCCGGGCACACTCGGCAAAGGCTTGGGAGGCTGGTGGTTGGCACAGCTGGAGATGGGCTGAGAGCATCCAGTGGGTGGGGGCCAGAGATGCTGTTCAACAGCCCACAGGCCCAGGTAGGCCCCCCAAAACCAAGAATGGCCTGGGTGCCAATGTCAAGAGGTGGAAAAACCCTGGAGGCCAAGCCCCACAGTGGGTGGGAGTGGGGACCAGGCTGTCTGGGGGTCCATGGGGGGCAGGGCTGGGACAAGTGTAGAGGGAGGGCAGGAACTGCCCACGAAGGAAGGGGAGGAGGGCAGAGTGGGGTGCCCAGCACGTGTAGCCCTGAGACTGTGTGTGACAAGTGCTGACCACGGGGGCTTGGAGACCCCTGGCGAGAGATCCCACTGGGTGTGGCCAAACACCACGTGGTGTTGCACATGAGAGGGTGCGCAACACACACACACACACACACGCACATAGTCAGGCTTCAGGGACCACAGACCTGGGCTCCAAGATCAATTTTCCCAGGTGTGGGCCGAACAACTTCCGCCTCCGTGGCTCAGGGCTATCTGGGATGGGGAAACTGAGGCTTGGCTTCTGCCCCAAGGAGAAGGGGACAACGGCTTCCCTGCCACGGCTGGGCTGAGTCAGCCCAAACAGAGGAGGAATCCCCTACCCCAAACCTCAGAAGACTGGGGGGGTGGGGACCCCAGATGGCCTCAGCCCTGAAACTTCCTAACAAGCAGACCACCCGTGGGCTGGACCCTGGCTGCCCAGCCCTGCTCTCAGGACTCCGGGGAAGTCCTGCCTGTTAGCTGCCTCAAGTGTCTCCAGCTGCAGCCGGGGACCAGGGAACAGGGGGTGTTTCTGCTGGGCTGGATGATCCTTTCTGGGACAGCCGCTGATCTGGGCCCTCCAGCGTCGGGATGGGGACTAGGGCTGGGAGGGCCATGGTGTTTAGATGGTGGCCCTGAGCTCAGATGTGTGGGAAAGAGGGGAGAGGGCCAGTCTAGGGGAACAGTGAAGGAGAGAAGGGGCTCTTTCCGTGGGAGCCCTTGTGGAGTTGGGGGTGAGAGAAGAAGAGAGGGGACCACGCCCTCAGGAAAGCTGTCTGGGGTGAGAGGGGCTTGCACCCTCGAGAACCCCACTCTGAGGTGCAGGAGGGGAGGGTCCATACCCACTGGTCTCCAGGGTGTCAGCCTGGGGGCAGGGCAGCGGCCCCCCGCCCTGCCCCTCCTCAGACCCTGGGATGTGCAGACCTCTCCCCAGGGTCTGAGAACCCAACCCCCTGCGCTGTCCTGGGCCTGCCAGGCATCAAGGTGACACCGCTTTTTCTGTCCTCCGCGGAGACGCGTCGTAAATCCCCCCAGGAGCTCGGGCCAGGGATTTTATGCGCCCAGGACCTAGGTCCCTGAGGACCCAGCTCTGCCCCAGCAGGCGCCGCTTTCGGGCTGGACAGGGCTGGCGCCCGCCCCAGACCTATCCCCACAGGGAGCTGGGCAGCGCACATATATTTTTAGCTACTGAAAGGAGATAGTGGCTCGGCGGGGGTGGACGGGGCCTGAGGAGGCCCTTTGGGGGAGGGAGGCCTGGGTCCACCTGGACCTCAGACTCCTCATCTGCATTTGGCTCCCTCTTCCCATCCCATCCCACCTCATGGGAGGTGGCCGTGGCACGCGGCAGGAAGGGGTACAGGGACCTGCAAGAAAGTGGGAAGGACGGCCCCTGCCGACATTCCTCCCACTCACACCGCTTTCCTTCGTGGACCACGGGAAAAGGACCCTCTCTGCGCCCAGCACGTGGTCCCCGCCCCGTCCCCCCCCCCCCGCCCAGTGCGGCTGGCGCCCCCACCCCACACAGGCTCGGGTCCCTCCGAGAGGTAGGCACCCCCGGAACGCGGAATCACGACCCAGGATCCATTTTCCACTCTTTATCTCCGTGCAGCTACTGGAGAGTCCCGAGGCCGGGGCGGCACCTCCTGCGCACGCGCAGTCTGTCCGCCGCGGGCCTTGCCAGGCGGGACGGTGGGCGCCGCGGCGCGGGGGCCGTGGCCGCCGTCTCGCCGGGCCCCTGAGGTAGGGTCAGACGCAGGCACACTCGCGCGCCGACAGCTCGTGGACCGTGTGGTAGCGGCTGTGCGCGTCCAGGAAGGACACCTCGTCCTCGTAGGCCGTCGGGCGGCAGCAGGGCTGCGCGCGCACCCGCTCCCGCCGAACGCGCCGCCGCTGGCGAAGCCGCCGCAGCCCCAGGTCGTAGACGCGCGCAGCCGCTTCGCAGGCGCCTGCGCAGTAGCGGAACAGCACCGTCTCGTCGGACGCGTAGCCCAAGCCCAGCTCGCTCACGCGCACTTCCAGCTCGCGCAGCCCGCACGGCCGCGTCCCCGCTCGCGCGCGCGCGCGCCTCCGCCGGAGCCCCGCCCGACGGCGCGGACGCGGGGGCCTGCCGGCCCAGGGCGTCAGCTGGCGCAGCTCCACCGCGTCCGGGGCGCCCTGCAGCAGTGCACGATCTGCGAGGAGAGAGAGAGAGAGAGAACCGGGTGGGTCGGTGGGTGACTGGGGGCGAGTCCCCGACCCCCGCTGTTCCCCTCGGAAAACAGCCCCTTGGTAGCGCACCCTCCCGAGGCGGCTTCTCAACTCCCTGCTACATTCCCAAGCGTGTTCCCTCTCTGGGCGCCGTGGGGGGTGCCTGTGCAGAGCCCCCGCGCTGGAGCCCCAGGACTCCCAACAGCCCTCTCTGGACCCTACCGCTGTGGTGGACGCTCAGAACCTGGCTCCTCCTTGCCGGTGCCCTGGAGCGCTTTCCAGCCTGCCCCACGTTGAGCTGGGCTCGCCCCGGGGTCTCACTCCCTCTGGTCATCCCCACGCCCACATTCTCCGTGGGCCCTGACCCTTTGTTCTGCTTTCGCTGAGCTGCTCCCACCTCTTTGCAGAAAAGGAAGGGAGGGCTCAGCTGGGGCTCCCTGTCCCCGTGGGCCCCCAGCTGGCCCCACCCCTAGGCTGGGATGCCCCTGGTAACTGGCACCCCTTCTGTGACCAGTGTTGGGGAGCTGCATCCCATGCTTCAAGCACTCACTCGTTGGTTGAGCTGATAAAGAGTCTCTGGCTCACTCTTTGGGGGCCCCACCCAACGCCCCCCACCTTATCCCTCCTGCTCCGCCGCACGCTGGGACTCAGTTTCTCCACGCACACTACCAAATCGGGGTGTTTGGGCTGTTCAGAACGCGCGGAGGATAACACCAGCAGGCACGGAGGCCCGCATGTGAGGACGGTGGGGGGAGGCAGCAGGGAATGTCACGGCCTCCCCCGTGTTACAGGTGAGACAACAGGCATCCATTAGGGCAGAGACTGGCCCAAGGCCACAGTACCAGCAGGTGGCAGAGAGACACAAGCCCAAACAGCCTTGTTCCCGCCTCCATCGTGTGCCCAAGTTTGGCCCACGTCCAGTGCTCTGCTCCCACGGTTGCCAGGAGGTGCCCGGAGTCACAGATTCCCAGGGCCCCGGAGCCTAAATTTATTTCCCAGGCGGCTGGGCTGCCCCAGTACTCTGCAGCCTCGGGAGAGCCTCGTAGACATGCCAGTGGCAGGTGGCGCTGAGAGTGGAACTGCAGGCAGGGGCTCCTAGTCTCTGAACAAGTGGCAGGCATGCTTGTGGTTGGGAGAGGAGACCCCGAGTTTATCGCCTGCATGCCCCCAAGCCTGGCACCCTTGGCTCCCAAAAGAAATAGCTTATAGGCAGACGCGAGGGAGAGGGTGTGTCCGTTTCCACAGGGGGTCTCAGGAATCAGACAAACCCCAGTTGTGAGTCTTGCTCTGCCACTTTCAGCCCCGTATCACTTCAGGCAGGTGATGGACCTGCTCTGTGCCTCAGTTTCCCTATCCGCTCAAGGAGGCTTGCAGAGAGTTCCCCTCTGGCTGAGGCTGGGACAGTGGAAAGTGGGGATCAACTGAGCAACATGTTTCCAGTTCTTGAAGTCCAGGGGCAGGACTTGGTGGCCAGCACCGTCTGCTCGGGGGTTAGGTTCCAGCCTACCTCACTTATGGTGCCTAAAATTCCACCATGTAGCGTGCCCGCCCCTAAGGTATACATCTACACAGAATTCGGGGGGGGGGGGCCGCGGCGGGGGAAGATGCCAGATAAAGTACAGATGCCCAGTAAATTTGAATTTCAGACAAACAGTGAATAATCTCTTGGTATATGTGTCCCTGCCTCCCTCCAGCAGGCCTGGCCACCTGCACAGGGTCTGGAACACAGAGATGAGATCAGCAATAGTTCCCCCAACCCCGATCCCCACCCCCGCGCTCCCACTGCCCCAAGCCTGCAATTCCACCATCAGCGCATTGGTCTCAGGGCCTAACACTGGGACACTGGAGGGATCAGCGACCACTCCCTTCCCTTAGCAGGACTGTGCCCAGGCACAGGATGCAGGGTGGGCAAGCACCCGCCCAGGGACCGAGACCCTTCCCGGTGACTGAGATCCCATCGTCGGTGTTGTGCCCCAGGTTGTAAGCACTAGGTTCTCCGCCCCCCCCCCTCCACCCCCCCGGGACCGGGTTTCTGGAACCCAGTGTCTTGGGAAGGACTTTGCCGCCTGCAGGAGGAAGTGGCGGGCGGAAGTGGAGCCCGTGCCTGAGGCCACCCTTGTCCATTGTAAGGACAAGAAAGGAGGATTGTGTGGGCCGGCAGGACGGGCGCGGACTTGCACACAGGCTGCACGCAGCGCAACCCCGCGGGCGCCATGCACGCGCCGCGCCTGCGCCCGCACCCGCGCCCGCGCCCGCGCCCCCGCCCACACCTCGGTGGGCGGAGCGGTGCCCGCGTGGACACGTGCGCGCGCACAGGAGGTCGGGACCTGCGCCCTACCTCGGGCAGACAGGCGGGGCAGCGGGCTGGCGCCAGGGAGGAGTGGGGAGTTGGGCCGCGAATGGGGATGTTTCCACATCTCCACCGCAGGGCCTTTTCCCGCGTCCACCTCTCCCAAACTTGTGTCCGTCTGTCTCTGTCTCTGTTTCTCTCCCCATTTCTACGTCTCTCGGGGTCTCCGCTTCCCCTCGGTCCCTGTCCACGGGGCAGGTCAGTGGGGACTCGGATCCAGCCTCCCTGTCCCACACCATGTGCTGCGCATGGGAGCCCCCCGGGGAGAATGCCCAGATCTAATCTCCATCTGGACCCCTGGCCCCTGAGGGCCAGAGCCTAATTCCTTGTGACGGCTGAGCCCAGAGACCCCTGGCTCCCAGCGATCTCCCTCCACCCCTCGCCCCACCACGACAGCTTTCCACCCCTGCCATTCCGTTGGGGGGATTTGCACCCTCTCCTCACCCCATCCAAATTAAGCCTCTGTGGCCCATGCATGAAATTCCACCGTTGTGGCCGCCCCTGTATTGGGGCAGCTGACCCAAGTCGGGGCCCGGCTTACACTGGGCCAGGCGGGCGATCCGGGCGTCCAGGGTGCGCGGCGGCCGGCGCAGTGGGGTCAGCGAGGGTCCCAGGTGGTGACTGAGGAGCAGGCCGTCCCGACACATCCAGATGGAGAGCACTGAACTGCAGAGCACCGAGGCCAAGGCTGCCGCCTTCCAGCGCTGCATCCTCGGCCTGCGGGCATGCGATGGTCAGCCCCACGGCCTCCGTCTGTCTGTCTGTCAGGCAACAAACGGGAACAGGGCGCTGGGCCAGGCACCGGGGACACGGTGCGGCCCCTGATTTCCAGCCACTTCTGCTTAATGATCAGTAATAACGTAGACATGATTCGTCAAGGAACCCGTGAACAAGGTTGCGAAAAAATGCTGCCCAAGAAAGGAGTGGGCACTGTACCAGGAGTAGCAGGGGACCCACCCCCATCTGGGGGTCCCAGAGTGCTTTCCTGAGGATTGACGAAAGTTGAGCCTTAACCAAACATAGAAGTCGGCCAGGAACAAGAGAATGGCATCTCAGGCTGGAGGAACAGCCAGTGCAAAGGTCCTGAGGCTGGACTAAGGTTGGCCAATGCAGCCAGGAGGCTGGAGTGGCTGGAGCCCAGTGATTTTGGAGTGGAGCCTGGAAGGAGGTGAGGGCACTCCCAGGAGGGGGCACTGTGGGACTGGGGCATGGAGAAGACAATGTGCTCTGATGTGTTCCTAACATATTGGGGCCCTCTGGAGTGACGTCCTGCCCCTCTCTGAGCCTGGGTTTCCAGACAGAGATTAAACTGATGCCCAGAAGCGGGCATCGATGGATCAAAGCTGCACTGGACCCACCACCCCCAGGCCTTTGCACAGGCCGGTCCTCCCACCCAGCACATTCTCTTCTCCTCTTCCCCACTCCCCTCCCTCTCTCAGTCTCAGCTCCGGGCGTCTTCCCCAGGAAGCCTTCTCCGGCTGCTCCTACTCGCGCCCTTCCTCCTCCCCAGCCCCGGGTGGGCGCAGGTGTGCACCCTCTGGGCCACCACAATGGCCTGAGCTTCTCCCGGTGAGGGACTGGTGACTCAGTGCTGGGACCGCCTAGCCCCGGGCACTGTGTGCACATAGTAGGTGTTTCGTAACGCATGCGCACTCCCGCTCACCCAGTCAGAGCCCCTTCCCGCCGCCGGGCGCCCCCGCCCGGGTTTACATTCCCGGGCCTGGCAGCCTGGTGGCGGTCCGCGCGGGGTTGGCGGTCCGCCCGGTGTAAACATTTACACAGAGCATTGAAAGCCGCGCTGGATGCCGGTCAGCGCCTGGGCTCGGCCGTGGGGTGCCGGGCGGCCCCACGCGCGCCCCTCGGGCGGCTCAGGCTGGGGGCCACTGTGCGGAGCCGGCATTTGCGTGCGATTTGCATTGCAGTTTTGCATGGACCCCGCACTGGCGGGTTCGGCGCAGTGGGTCTGGAACCGTCTCTCCCCCCACCCCACCCCCTCCCATGGGAGCGCTGGCGCAGAACCTACAGCCTCCAGACAGTAGCCGGGGACGTTTATTAAGCGCCTGCTGTGTACCAGACCGGTGCGGAACCCACGAAGAAGGCAGCATGATCTCCATTTTACAGCTGGGGAAAGTGAGGCACAAAGCAGGTAGGGGCTTATCCAAGGTCACAGCTGGACAAGCATCTGGGATTCGAACCCGGCTGCAGGCGCTGCGCTGTGCTTGGCAGCCTTGGAGTCCCCCTGAGGACTTGCCCCGCTTGGGGGTGTTTGGATAGGGCCGTTTGGGGGACTGCTGGTGGCGCTGGCAGAGAATGAGTTCCCCCACACGGGGGCGTGAGAGAAAGCCGGGCCAGCCTGCAGCTCGGAGGGCACTTGACCGCGCCTGGCGTGCTGCAGGAACACTGGTGGCCCATGAGGCTGGAACAGAGTGAGCGAGGCGGAGGGAGGGGAGGGCAGGCCGGGGGGGGGGGGGGCGGGGCAGGTCACGCAGGGCCTTGGGGGCCGCGGGGAGAACATCTCATTGTCAAGCTTGTGCAGCAAGGGGAGGACAGCCCCCGAAGTTGTCAGGTGTCCAAACCCGCCCCTTGGCTCTAAAGGAGCCCCTACTTTATGCTTTGGGGGCCCAGAGCCCTCCCTGCACACGTCCTGCCGGGGTGTGCCTCGGTTTCCCTGTTAGGCTGGAACGAGGCCCCTGCGCCGAGCCAGGCTCTGGTCCTGGGTTTCTGCTGAGGGCTTCGCATGGGGGCGGGGGGCTGAGAGGCTGGATGGGCCCGGAGACGGCCTGGCCACGGGAGCCCCTGGTGTCCTTGGAGCTGCGGACCCCCCGGAGCTCTGATGGGGGGCAGGAAAGCAGAGGGCCAAGGGTGGAGGGGGCCCAGTAGGTGCGGCTGATAAGCGTCTGTTAACAATGGGCCTTTCAGTAAGGGGGTCACCCAACTGGTTTGTCTGTGGCAAGGACCTGACCCAGAGGGGTGCTGCGGGTGTGGCGCATGGCGCGGGGAGGGGGCCCGGGGTGCACCATGCGCGTCTCTGGGTCCCGGAGGCCCCCGGTCCTGGGGAGGCGGACGCACAGCACACGTGGGGGCGCACAGTCACTCGCACTCGGCCTTCTTGTCCTCGGTCACACACTTGGGTGCTCTCACTCCCCTGCACACCCAGACAGTCCCGACCCACACCCTGGGACACGCTGTCGCTTGCACGCTCTAACACTGTCCCACTTACACTCCCTGTTTTCATACTCACCAACTCCAGCTCGACGGGGCTCGCACACTCAGGGGTTTTCCCACGCCCGTGGGCATTTTCACACATGTTGGAAACACCTACCTGGGTGGGTGTTCTCACACTTCCATCCATATAGGAGCACACTTACGCACGAGGTCATTGGCACACACGGACTCCCAACATTATCACACTCCCAGCAGTTTTCACAATTCACACCCTCAAGCATGATTACACTGAAAGACAAATACAATCAACTATCTTGAGTGTGTTCACACTCACAACTTCCAACCTGATTACGCTCACATATTTGAACACTATCACACACTCAACTATTCTCACAATACACACCTGATCACTACCACACTCATCCTAGTGTCCTGCACTCGCAGGCTTGAACCTTCACACTTAGGTGTGTTTACCCTCACACTCACGTTTGACAGCCTTGTTCACCTGCTAGTGTAATGCATGCTCACACATGCTCACACTTGGGCTCACACATGGACCACCCTCATAGGTTATCATATTTGAACACACCCCTGCCCCACACTCGCATGTTTTCACACTTGTGCACTCTCACATAGCATAGACCACCTGCCTTCCCGCTTTGGAGCTCTCACACTCCCAGCCATTCAGGTGTTCTTAGCCTCTTGCACACTTGGGAGTTCCCACACAAGCGTTTTCACACTCACGGAAAACACGCACTGGCTCTGGCACGCTGGCCTAGAGAACAGGCATGGCCGTGCAGGCATGCCGCTCCCAAGCCCTCCCCTGAGCACTCGGACCCGTGCACACTCAGGGACACACACCTGCAGGCTCCGCGTGTCCTGCTTCGTTCATGTGCTTGGCCTGAGGCCGAGCCGGGCCTGCCACCTGCTTGCCTCTGTCATTCTCACATCCTGGCCACACATTCACACACACGGGGACACACTGGTGCGTGGCCCAGTCCCCTTCTGCATGCATCTCCGGGGTTTCCCGTGCTGCCCAGACAGGGCCTTAGCCAGTGGTCTCCTCTCAACTCTCAGAAAACATCCAGACCCTGGAGAATCCTCACTTCCCGGGAAAGGAAGACCCCTCCTTTCTTGGGGGCCATGACAGCCTGAACTGCAGGAAGTGGGATCAAGGAGAACCTCACTTCTAGCTGGAGGCCACAGAGTGCCCAGGGCTGGGATGAAGCCCAGAGAGGGGTGATGAGTAACCCAGAGTCACACAGCCAGGCAAGCCCTTCCAATCTTCCAAGGAACACACAGGGTGAGGGTGTGTGCATGTGGGTCTTTCTGAAAGCTTCCTTGATAGTGCCAAGAAACTCTGCTCATTATCCTGGTGCCCAGGCAACACCCTGAGGCTCCACCTTTCCATGGAGCCTCCCAGGAGACAGAGGCCAGGCATACCTGTTCTTGAGGTCAACAGCCTCCTTCCCATAGAGCTCCTGGCCTCAGGGAGGCGCCGGTTTTGTGCTCATTCCCAGAGAGAAGAAGGATGGGAGGGGGCACTTCCCTCCATCCACTCATCTCTCTAGTCTGAGGGAGGCCTTGAATTGGGGCTTGCCCCCATCTGGTAAACTCCTACTCATCCTTCAGAGCCCTACTCCTATAGGCCCTCCTCCAGGAAGCCATTCCAGCTTCCTATCTTGGATTCTCAGCTGCGGGTCCCTCCCTCTTACCCAGCCCTGTTGGCATAGTATCTGGATCCAAATCTGTCTTCTCTGGACTGTGGGATTTTGGAGAGCTAGCCTGGGCTGGGTCCTTTCAAGGCACGGACAGGCTTCTAGAATTCTGTTCACAAAGGTATGAGCTTGGGTGCCTCGGTGGCTCAGTCGGTTAAGCGTCTGCCTTCGGCTCAGGTCATGATCCCAGGGTCCTGGGATCGAGCCCCACGTCGGGCTCCCTGCTTGGCAGGAAGCCCGCTTCTCTCTCTCCCTCTGCTGCAGCTCCCCCTGCTTGTGCTCGCTCTCTCTATGCTTCAAATAAATAAAATCTTTAAAAACAAACAAAAAAAAGGGGGTATGAGCTTGCTGCAGCTCCTTGGTCTCCATACTTTTGCCCGTGTGGTGCCTCCCTTCACGTACACCCTTCTCCTTCTCCACCTCACTCCTGGACACCTCCTTGGCCTTCCTACAGGGGACCTCCCTGAAGGGTGCCACCCAGCCCCGTGGGAACACGAGGGACGACTTGGAGGAGCTGGACGGGCGGCTTGTGGGGCTGTCGGCACCGCCCACAGGCAGAGCGAGCCAGGCTGAGAAGCAGTGAGGGCAGCTGTGGGGGTTGCGCGCGCCCATGTGGGTGTGAGCGTGTGAAGAAGGGCTCATGTCTGAATCCCGCAGCACCGGGGTTCTAGATGGCTGCCTTTGAATCCCGGCTCTGCCTCTTCCTTGCTGGATGACACGGGGCAAGCTCCTCCCCCTCTCTGAGCCTCAGTTTCCCCATCTGCACAGTGAGCTGCCTGGGACACCCCTGCCCGCGTTTGGGGGGCCAGCTCATTCATTCGGTGAAGTCCTGAGGGCCTGGCCGGTGGCAGCAGGGGCCGGGCCTCAGACACACGTGC